GCCCGCCCGGCCGGCCGGCAGCGTCCCCAGCCGCCCACTGCACCCGTGGGCTCTCACTGTTGCCAGTGTTTCCCCCCGGGTGCCCCGCGGCCCTGCCTGGCTGACAGGCGTTCGGCTGCTTCTGACTGCCTGCTGCCCCTGAGCCACCTGCGTGCACCTTGTGCCCTTGGGCAGGTACCGCGGGAAGGTGAACTCTGGGGAGTGGAAGGCTGGGGCAGGAGACAGGCTGTGGAAAGGTGACAGGCTCCGTCAAAGCAGCCTCCCGCCACAGTGGAGAGACACCGGCCGAGCTGGGTGGCAGTGACGCGTAGCCATGGGACTGCAGATCATCTCTGGGCTCCGTTAGGAGGCTGCACCCCCACACTGCGAAAGAGCTCCTGCTGGCGGCTGCCTTGTCCCACCACCCCCTCACTCCCATCCTGCAGAAAGGGCCCCTAGATTCGCTGGGTGCGTCCTGAGTTAGGGGGGCCCCCCGGGCTCGCCCCGGTGTCTCACCTGTTCCTGCGTCGCGGGGAGCCCGCGCCTGTGCCCGCGGGTAACGGCGCACCCCGTCCCCGCCCCCAGGGCAGCGGCTGTTTGGGGAGAGCATCCTGGGGCTGACGCAAGGCTCCGTGTCCGACCTGCTGTCGCGGCCCAAGCCCTGGCACAAGCTGAGCCTGAAGGGGCGGGAGCCCTTCGTGCGCATGCAGCTCTGGCTGAACGACCCCCAGAACGTGGAGAAGCTGAGGGACATGAAGAAGCTGGAGAAGAAGGGTGAGCCCTGGCAGCCCGCGGCCTCCCGAGCTGCAGCCCCGCGGTGTGGCCGAAACGATGAGACGCTGAGTCAGTGGCACGTGCTGGCCCCCGGGACGGTTGCAGGACCGTCCACTCACTGCTGATCCGCTAGTTTCCTGCAGCCCGAGCTGCATAGGCTTTGGGTGGGAGGTGGGAGGGCGCGAGGGGCCTCCCCAGACACAGCGGGGAGCAGAGCAGGCAGGCTGAGGGCAGCAGCGGGCGGTCAGGAGAGGCCGGCCGCGCCCTGCGGGTCACGCCCTGGCCGGATCCAGCTCGGGCCGCGGCAGTGGGGGCGCTTGGCCCGTGGGCCCCCGGGGAGTCCCAGCGGCATATGCTTCAAACTCTCTGGCGCCCCGTCCTCTGCCTCAGCGCCACGCCACGTGAGCCCCCTCACCCGTTACCCCGAGCCCCCACCTCAGAGCACAGAAAGGGCCCAGCGAAGGAAGAGACTCCCCAGGGGAGTGAGCAGGGGGTCTGCAGGCTCCGGCGCCGCCTCACAGCATCTCTTGTGCCCACGGGAGAGACCTGTGCGCCGCCCCGGCCTCAGGGCCTTCTGGGTCTTAAAAAAAACTCCGTTTTCTCAGGCGATGCAGAGTTGCAAGATGCAGTGCAGACTGAGAAGCTGTAGTCTGGGTCCCAGCGGGCAGGGTCCAGCCAGGCTGTGAGGGCGCCTGCGGCCTGGGCACCCCCAGAAGGGCCCCGGGCAAGGTGCTTCCCCTCTGCCCTCTTCTGTCTTCACCGCAAAATAAGTGTTGATTGGCAGTGGGTGCCGTGTGGTGACACACATCTGAAGAGGTGTGACTCCAGGCCTCTCCAGCGTGCAGTGCTGTAAACCAGCGTTACCGCAGTGAAAACTGAAAACACAGTAGTTTAACATGCACAACACACACACACACACACCGGGGGCGGGGAGGGGAGCGGGGTGCCGGTGGGGAGAAGGAAGGGCTGACGGTAGGCTCCCCCCGAGGGCCTACGCCGGGGCATTAACGGAGGCTGTTCTGCATGTTTATGCTGAAGATGCAAAACTACATTTTTCTATCAGTTTTCACAGCTGGGGTTGAGACACTCACGCAACTACTGGGTGATTACGGTAGTGTTGCTGGGCCTCCCGGGTGGCACAGGGTTCCAGCGCCACGGTGAAGCCAGCCACGGCCACTGCCGCCGAGCTCACGCCGGCCGCCGGCCGCGGGGCGCCGACCTCTCCTGGCCACCGCTGCTGCCCTCGGCAGTGTCCACCGGCCTGCTCTGCTCCCTCTGTCCCTGGGGAAGCCTCTCGGCCGGGCACCTCTGGCCTGTAGCCCAATTCTTGTGCGCATAAATAAACCTTTTTTTAAAGTAACATTGTCCCCCCCCCATCAAGACTAGTAAAATTCAGTGAAATTTCTGACAAGCAAGAGAATTTTGCAGAGGGCTCTGCTGAGCCTTCCAATCCCTAACACCTGAGCGCTACCACCAGGCTCCAGAGGCGGGTGGGCTCTCGGCCCTCGGCC